ACTGTGGTTCAAGTCCCAGACCTGGTGGCTTAAATTCACTCTGGGCGTGTGTGCGTGTGTACCCAAGATCCTGAGAAGAGAATGGAGGAGAAGGGATTGCGGCATGGCCTTGTCCCCTGCGGGGTGATTTCTCACTTTCTGTCTCTGTCTCTCTCTGTCTCTCTCTGTCTCTCTTTCTGGCGAGTGCATGTGCCCTATAACAAAAACCTTTCACAAAAAAATAATTGGTAGAGGCAACTGTTCACCAGATGAGCAAATATCAATACAGGGATACAAGATACCTGAAAAGGTAAGCTAGCATGACTCCCAAAGACATACAGTAACACTCGAGCAACAGATTCCACAGAGAAGGAAATCTGTGAAATGTCTAAAAAAGGAATTCTATATTTTTATCATAAGGAAACTCAGTGAGCTACAAGACAGTAGCAATAGACAACTTAACAAATTAATGAAGGGACAGATATCATTAGAAAGGGCCAAGAAGTGAACCAGCAGTTAGCGTAATGGCTATGTCGCTGGACTCCCATGTAGTCGACTGCTGTTCATGTCCCGGACCTGGTGGCTTAAAACTCACGCCGGGTGCGTGTGCGTGCGTGCCCAAGATTCCGAGAGGAGAATGGAGAAGGGATTGCGGCGTGACCATCCCCCCTGGGGGGTGATTTCTCGCTTTCTGTCCCTCTGTCTCGCTCTGTCTGTCTGGCGAGTGCATGCACCATATAGCGAAAATCTCTCCAAAAAAAAAAAGAAAAAGAATTAAAAAAAGGCCCAAGAAGAAGTCTTGGAGCAGGAGTCAAGGAAAGAAATACCATACACAATGAGGAGCTTTAACAATAGACTTTTTTGAGGATGGCAGGTGGTGTGTTGGTTAAAAGGACTGGATTCCCACGTGACGGACCTCGGTTTGAGTCCCAGACCTGGCGACTTGCTTTCTCTTTTTCCCTGTCTCTCTCTGGTTAGATTTTTAAAATAATAATAACAAATGCAAATAAATAAATAAATGATTCTTTTTTAAAAATAGATTTTTAAAGCAGAGGGAAGAATTTCCAAACTTGAAGACAAGTCATTTGAAATAATCAAGTCAGAGAGAAAAACAGAAAAAAAAAACAAAAAAGAATGAAGAACACTTACAGGAAATATGCGACAGTATTAAACGAACAGATGTTCATGTTATAGGAGTTCCAGAAGGAGAAGAGACAGGGAAAAACACCGAAAAGTTATTTCATGAAATAATAGCTGAAAACTTTGTAAGTCTTGGGAGAGAGATGCACATCCAGGTTCAGGAAGCTCAAAGATTCCTCCAAAAATTGAACCCAAAAAGACCTTCTCCAAGTCACATTATAGTGAAACTCAAAATGTGGACAAGGAGGGAATTCTAAAAACAGCAAGAGAAAACAGTCAAATCAAATATAAGGGACTCCCCATTAGACTAATAGCAGATTTCTCAGTAGAACCCTTACAAGTTAGGGGACCCGTAGATGGCATGGTGGTTAAGGTGTTGGACAGTCCCACATGGTTGACCACGGTTCAAGTCTCGGACCTGGTAGCTTGCTTTCTCACATTCCCTTTCTCTTTTTTTTCTCTCTCTGGTCAAATTAAAATAAATATCATAAGAAATAAAATAAAATAAATAATTCTTTTAAAACATATATATGGGTTAGCCTCTGAACACACGTAGCACCAGCACCAGTGCGGGGCAGGTCTACAGCACCACCTTTCTTACCTGGGTAGCTGTCAGTCATAGTCTCCCCTCCCGTCTTCCTGTTCCCACTTTCATCCTCTCCCTCTACCAAAGCTTCTTCACAATAGACATTCAGAGTAAGAATGTTAAAAAAAAAAAAAATCTCTGTCTCTGTCTGGTGAGCGCATGTGCCCTATAGCAAAAATCTCTCTCAAAAATAAATAAATAAATAAATAAAGGAAACCTTATAAGTTAGAAGAGAATGGCATGATTTAGTCAAAGAATTGAAAGAAAAAACCTGCCAGCCACTAATACTCTATCAGCAAAGCTATCCTTCAGAAGTGAAGGAAAAATAAACTCTTCCCCAGACAAGCAGAGACTGAGAATTTGTCTTCATGAGACCAGCTTTATAAGAAATGCTTACGAGAGTGCTATGTCGGGAAGCAAAAGGGTAACTCCCGTCATGAAGCACATGAAAGTAGAACATTCACTGGGAATATACATAAATGAGAAAGAAAATTCTTAACTCTGGAGAAAATCAGCAAATCACAAAGACAAACAGGAAGGAATAAGTGAAATAAAAAATTAGAAAATATGAAATGACTGGAGAAAATCCTCACCTATCAAGTATAATTATTTTTAAAGAATGATTTTACTTAACTTTATTTTTATTAATTTATTTGAATTTGACCAGAGAGGAATAGAGTGAGAGAGAGAGAAATTGAGAAAGCAAGCAACCATGGTTGGCCGTGGGGAAGTCCAGCACCCTTAACCACCACGCCATCTGCCGGCCCCTTAGTTATAATCTCGGATGTAAATAGGTTAGATACATACTGGCGGAATAGATTTGAAAAAAAAACAAAAAAACAAAAACAACAACTATATGCTTCATAAAATAATCTCCCTTCAGTAGCAATGATATACATTGACAGAAAGTGAAGGAATGAAAAACACTTTATGCCCATGGAAATCAAAAGAAAACAGGATTTGTTATGTCAGCTAAAACGGACGTTTTCTTTTTTGGGGGGGAGGTTTTTGCTATAGGGTGCATGACCATGCCATCATCCCTTCTCCTCCATTCTCCTCTCGGGATCTTGGGCACACATGTACACGCACCTGGCTTAAGTTTAAGGCACCGGGTCAAGGACTCGAACCGTGGGCAGCTGGCTACATGGGAGTCCAGTGACATAGCTATTACGCCAACTGCTGGTCCTGGCAAAAGTTTTTAAAAAGTAAAATATGTGCACAACATACATACCCATGCACTCCAATGCACGCTTGTCCATTTGTATGCACGTCACACACACCCACGCATGTACTCAATGTATAGATACCCATACGTGCACACACACAGTACACACAGGGTCCCCTGTGTAGACACACTCACATGTGAACACAGTGTACACACACCCATATAAACACACACTCTGGAAACATACCTGCATACAAATACATGTGCCGGGCCCTTACGCACACACGTAAGGCAGACCTGCGGGTGCACTCACAAGGTCTGTGCACACCCTGCCTCCCCTCTAACGGCCTGCCTTCCTCCCCACAGCCATGCTCAGCTCTCCAGCACCTTTCTCCTTCCCCATGGCTCAGTTCATCCTCTTCGTCTTCACCGTGTCCACCATCTATCATCTCCAGAGGCGGCTCTTGAGGTCCCATCCCACGTGGGAGGTACCGACGACGACGCCACAGACTGGGCTGGTGACAGAGAGCCCCACGCGCTCGGCGCTGGAGGGCATGTTCACCATCAACGCCATCGGCCGCCTGGGGAACCAGATGGGCCAGTACGCCACACTGTATGCGCTGGCCAAGGCCAACCGGCGGCCCGCCTTCATCCCCGAGCAGATGCACCACACGCTGGCCCCCATCTTCAAGATCACTCTCCCGGTCCTGCACGAGAGCACGGCCGCCAAGGTGCCCTGGCGCAGCTACCACCTCAACGACTGGATGGAGGATC